CCGCCATATGCTCCTTGTCATTATCGGACAAACGGTAAAATCCGTTGACAATTCAATGTGGAAAATAATGGCAGTCAGTCAACATTCGACATAACGATATATTGTATTTGCTAACAAGGTCATTGTATCGACCATAGAAATGTTGGCTTTAAACGAGACTGTTGATATCCTTGTATCATTAACTTATTTGTCAATCGCTTGTCTCGTTTTAGAAATTGTTCGTACGTAGAACATAAATTATTACTTGCATGTTCGAATCAACTGTGAGATATAAACTTCATATGCAGGTGATAATGGTATAATGCTACTCAAATTAGGAAAGTTGACAACAACAACAAAAAAAAACGTCGAAGTTATCGCGTTTATCATCAAGTTATGTTGTTAGTTTGCCATTAATGTCTTTCTTTAGTAAGATATCCGATCTGAAACAGATGTGTCAGACTCTGTGGTGTCTTTTATTTCAGTTCAAAGGGATATTTCGAATCGACGTAGGAATGAAAATGAATGTTATAAATCAATAAAGCGTCGTCGATGCGTTTTCTAAATATCGAATTGAAGGCCACAGCAAGAGACTTCTTCATTTCCTGTTGAAGTTTTTGAATAAATTCTGCTTTATATGAATACAAAAAGGCTAATAACGGTATGCAATTAGTACCCATGGGAATTCAAACAGATTGCTGAAAGACTTCATCTCCAAAAACTACATATATATTATTGATCAAAAACTCAACTTTTTTTTTAAAATCAACTTCAGAGTACTTGTGTGTACAATCAAAATGTTTTTGACAAAATAATTTTGCAGGTGACCAATGACAAGGTATGTAAATTTACGAGTTTCAGTTTTATTATAAAAAAAAAGTTGTTTGTGATGTCAAAAAGCTTGGACTTTAATTTATAGTGGGAATGATTGTATAAATTGTTGAAAAGTCTAAGTTTTGATTCTTTTGATTTTTGGTAAAATTTTTGATTTCCAATTTTCTAAAAGTTCTTCGGAGTTTTAGTATCCACATCTGATAAACACCACTTCTCGAATATCACTTCTCGAATATGTTATACCATCACGGTAGCTCAGTTGTTAGAGCGCTCGCTCCGTGATCGGAAGGTCGTGTGTTCGAATCACGGCCGCGACTGACCTAAGTCGATAAAAATAGGTAGCAACTGTTCCTTCGCCAAGCGCTCGGAACTTCGAGGTGAAAGTTGCAGGTCCTTAGAAGAAACCTTAAAAACCGAGGCCCCGTGCCACGGTAGGCGTTGGCACGATAAAGAACCCTCACTGCTCATTGGCCCTGAGTGCAGAGTAAAGGCCTTAATTTGAAGCCTTTCACCGATATATGGTGACGTCTCTATATGAGTGAAAAATTCTCGAACGGGACGTAAAACAGCGTACAATCAATCAATCAATCGAATATGTTGTTGAAAGAGGCTGGTTAGAACATTTACTACAACCCACTATGTATCTTTGTAAAGAAATTTATGTTGTTTAGGAATCCAGTATAGGTGTGATAATTCAAATTCAAATTGATTGTTTGTTTTATAAAAATATTTAAGACTGGCATATGTTTTTAAAGAATTTCCTCCATAAAAAGGGAACTTTGAATATAAGTTGGATTACCACTTGCAGAATTAAATCAAAGATTCTCTAAAATACAATTATAATAATGAGCCTTACAAACAAAGACAATGTTGATGTCTATTAATTAGCTGAAAATACTCTATCCTGACATGCTTCTTTGCAATCAAGGATTTTTACTATCTCCATGGAAACTAGTTTATTAAAATAAATTTTCTAACCAAAATTTCATTTTTTTCCAGAAGAACCTTGGCATGATTTATTCATTGCAATTATATATATTAAGAAACAAGGACTTTTAACATAATCCCAATCAGAAGAATTAAAATTTTATTTAAAAGAAACAATGTTCGAAATTTGGAAAAGTTTAATCAATTTTTTTCTTAAAAGCAAGGAGGAAATATATTACGTCATAAACTTCTTGCACCGAAATTAAGAGCAAAGATAAAGTAGGCGATACATGTCACAATTACTACGGATGACTTGGAGCAGTTTATTGATTTGTTTTTTCTTTGCCCATTCGAGTCGATGAGACGTGACGATGTGGTTATTCAAAGGACAATTTAGAACAATTAAATAAAAACATTGTACACAGGCAGCATCTGCTTCATTTTCATAAAAGACATGACTTTTTCAATGACTAAAAATAGAAACAAGTCGACATCAGTTGGCAATGTCACCTAAACATCCGTTACACCATTCAGTAGGTGAATGGTCTACATATATTTCTCATTAAAATAAGGGCAAAATCGTGTTTTATATAAAAGGTTTCCTTTCAATGCGAGATTTATTTCCATTAAATTATTATTTAAGACAGCCTTCACATCTCTTCTCCGTATAAATGGTCAGGTACAATATTGGAACAAAATATTTTTCTTTCAAAAATTAAATCTTGTTAAATCATGTTAAAGCAAAGCAAGTCAAATGAAAAACTTTCTGAAAAGGTGGTTTCAAATTTACGTCCATATTGTAAATCGCTCACTATTAGAAAATCATTACATATGGTTTTTAATCCTCGTTTGATAGTAGTTTTTTTCTCAGTGGGGTCTGATTGCTTGTGTTTTTGCAAATGTGACACTTCTATCCTTGTGCAATAAATAAAAAAATCACCGGCAGAAACGGTAATGTATTATAGTTTAAGTATCCTACTCTTGTCCTTTCAGCAATGCATGTATGCCAACGAAGCCTTTAATCTGTACCAATCTTTCCGTAGTTCGCGTTTCCAATTCAGGATTTTTATTCTAAGACAGTATTAAAAACCTTAAGATGCACTGTTCGCAAGAAGACATCCTGGAAATACTGTAACGAATCGCATTATACATTTTATAGAAACCGGTAGATGTCACGGGAAACCTGTTGAGGATCGAATTTGCACCGTTTACTCTAGAAATAATGTAGAAGACGAAATTCATTTTTTTATCACATTGTCCTTTGTACTCTGAATGTCGATCAAAACTTTTTGAAAACACTGGTTTTAATCAAATGTTTATTTACTTTTTTGTTTATCTCTAAACGTTTTGCTCTTTATTTTCTTTATATATTGTATTTCAATTTTGTGTTTAAAGTGGCATATAGGCCCGATGGGCCGGGTGTTGATTGTTATTGTATACAGTTTGTAAACAAGAATTTAATTATGTACACATGTCACTATAAATAAATAGATTACTTACTAATTACTTACTTTTATGTGCAAAATATAAGAAAGTCTTTGGTAAGTTTAAAAAGAATTTTGAATTTTATGGTATTTGCGTTTGTGACTAAATGCATATGAAAACAGCTTTTTCCAAAAAATGTAAAATTCTTTTCTAGTAACTGTTCTTAGAGAGAATCCAATCAAAAATAATTTGTAATACAGCGCTCCAAAGGACATGTTAAGAAAAAGTACCTAGGTAAATGTACAACAAGTTATTGTGAAGCAATGCCCCTTGTGCTGTATTTCACTGTGTGTCTGTCCAAGAAACCGACTACGCACAGTTTTTAAACCTTCGTATACAATGAGCACAATCTTTTCGCAAGATAAGTCACTTTTCTCTGTCTTGCTGGTATGTGGAATTCACTGCTGTGTTTATTTATAAAAATATATAAATAATCAATGAAAGTTTAAAAAAAATATAAATAACGCAATATACCTTTAAATCAGTTTTCGAGTATAATAATGCAAAAGATATGAGGGGGAAAAATCAGATGAAAAAATCATCCAAATTGAAAGAATTAGTTTTATTTATTCCAGACCAGCCTGTAAGAAACTGACATTACATTAATAAATCTCCACAAATGTTTCCTTCATGAAAGGGGGAAGTCATGACGACATTTTGAAACAAATTTTCAAAAGTCTATCTCAACACTTGCAGTTGTATATCAATCATAGTATCTCTCATCCTCTCTCTTTGGTCCATTTCCAAGTCTCTTGATGTCTGTTTTCTCTGGAACTGCTTCCTATAAATTATTTCTAGTTGCTTTTAAATCATTCTCTATGAAGTCAGGTTACTCTGACTTCAGAACAAAGTCTTAATCTCATGAATATACGATAGGTCAGTGGCATGAACATCGTTGACCACGATTGAAATAATGGCTATCGCAACCAAGTATATACGTATTAATATTGTATATTTCGACCAAATTCCCTGGGTTCTCATATATGCCATCGTAAAGCAAGAGTACAAAAGGCAAGATTCTCTTAGATTTCGTAACAAAACTTTCTCAACATCTCAAGAAGTGAGGATTACACGCTCAATAGTTGATTCAGCTATATCTATAATACACTTAGGATACTTAAGTATTTATAACAGTAATTTGATTTCGTTACGTGTTTGTATATCAAGGCGATGGAAAGTTCGTCTCACGTGTAACGAACCTCTCCCTAAAGGGAAGCATTTCTCGTCGATGGGAGCATAAACGTACGATCTACCTCTCGGTAAAGCTAAACATTGGTCGCTAGCAAAAAAAAAAACCTCCATCACTTTGTCCAATGCTTGAGATTGCACCCATTTACATTTCATTTTACTATTACGTTAATCCCTAATTTAAACCTTGTTTCTTTATTCCTACGATGTAAAATCTCAGTAAGTGTTAATATACCTTAGTTATTAAAATTTTATAGAATTTATGGATATCTTCCATTTAAATATTGTACTTGCTTAAAAAAAAATATTGTGTTTATTAAAGGCAAAATCATGTAAGCTTTCATATAATTTTTAGAACAGAAGTTCAAAATACTTTTGAAGTGCAAATTTTCAAGTTCTTTAAAAATCACTGTGTTCCATTTTATTTAGAAATCTGAAGTATTAATGCATATTTATAGAACCGCTTCTAGTCTTCAAATGGGTAATGTACATGCTTTAATTGAATTTGAAAAGACGATATGCGAACAATTACGTGATGAAATGGAATGTTTAAATAACATTTCCGTCAAAAGTTTACATTTTCTCCTCTCCATCTGAAATCATCGACAGTTGCTTAGTATTTAAAATCCAATACAGACAGTGACAGCAAGCACGCAGGATCATCTGCAGGAAGAAAAAAAAAACTTGGATAATTTAACGTTCCAACATAGAAAGCTCGCATGACAAGCTTTTCTGAATAAGTATGTATTCTTTCATTGTATTTTTCTCAATTTTCACACATCAATCAAACACCGTTGTGCAATTTGCAGGCCCTCATCCATGAAGCTGAATGCCCAAAGGACGTGACTGGCTTTAGTAGGATTTACCAATAGCAGGATCTGTAATCCCTCGCGCGCTGCCCAGGCGATGATACACTGTTCATTTCATTTACGGCAATTCACGTGCACGGAGTATTTGGATGGGTCGTATTCATATCGTATAATATGCAGAGAGGATTCTGGACATTATTTACTTCGTTGGTTGTAGCAGGTATTTTAGGTGAGTGAATTTAACTTGGTGAATTGCTTTTTGCAACTGTCATATACTCATCCAGATCAATATTGTTACATATCTCTATGTTCAAAGGTTGTTAATGTACTGAACGTATTGGGAAGAAATCAATCTGTTGAATTATTCTTTCAAGTGTTTACTTGAAAGATATGAAACGTAATCGTAAATAATAGATAAGAGGAAAAAAATTACATCCTTTTACTTGTATAATGCTGGAAGAATTCTCTAATATTGAAAACATTTCTTTTGCGACACTTCGAATTCCATTATTCATTTCTCTGCATGGAGGAATATGACGAAGTAAAAATTAAATTAATGCTAAAAATTATGAATTTCAAATTAGTTGTTATTTAAACTCCCCAATAGTTATCAAATGTGCAGCTCAATCTAGGAACTAAGATGTACATTTGTAAAGCCATTGGGAGGTTTTTTAAAGATTGTATTTAACGGCAAATATTTAAATAACAGATTTTTGCTGCCTTTTTAATTGGATTTGTGATCAAAATAGGATGTGCTATTGTAAGATTTACAGATGTCAAACATCGAGATCAACGCGTAAACATTGTGAAGAATGGATCAATTCAGTTTTAGAAATTGTATATCAATTGCCTGTTGATTGTATACTTAACTCTTTTTATGACCGCTTAAGGACCTAAACTGGTAAATGCAATTCCTTACAATTTTCCGTGTAAATAATAATCTGTCATAAGTTCAAAACTTCTTCTCGAACACACCGCTGTCAATAACATTTAGCGTACAATAACTGTTTCTTTCACCTTTTAATCCAATATTGTCCTATTGGGTGTAATTAAAGTGGCGGTAGGGATTTATTTTGCAAGTATTAAATTGCAATGACTTCTTTCCTTGTGCAACAATAATGTAAGTATTACACGTTTAAAATGCAGTGATTAGTTTAGATTTTCTAAACTTGGCCCATAGGATTGCATTGTATTCCATTGAAGTGTAAGCTAATTCCTCGATTTGTCTCAGTAGCTTCCAGAGATAAGGAAACGGCTATTGCAGAAAGTCTCATTTTGTTCTTTGGTGAACTCTTTTTATTAAAAAATTCACCCCTCTGCTCACTGGGAATCGATTGATGATAATACCATTATGATGTTCTATTGAAATAATATCGCGAATATCGTCCTTTGATGGCTTCCTTACAAGTTCAAGTTCAAGTTCTTTATTTCTTTGCGTCATACGACACATCAGATTACATATATAAACATATATACAATATTGTAAAATATAACAATATGAGAGTGAGCGTAATCAATAAATAGCAAGTAAACTATGTAGGACGTGTTTTCTAACAGGCAACTGTAATTATGAAATACTTAAAAATTTACAAATGTTTCATTCTTCTAGTGGAAGCTTGATATAAATATTTTCCAAGGTTACAAAGTTCCTTTATATTTTGTACACTTAGAAGTTGAATTAATTTCCAAACACTGGATTTCTTATAATAATACTTTTTCAAATACTTAGATCTAAGGTCATGATAAAAAGGACATTGTAAAATAAAATGAAATTCGTCTTCGATAACATTCAAAGAGCACATTTTACATAATCTGTTTTTTCTAATTTCATTAACATATCTACCAGTTTCAACATTTAGATTATGTGCAGATAGTCTAATTCTAGCAATTTGTATTTTGTACATATAATTAATAGGTTTACGCAAGTAATATTGTATACCAAAATTATCAACCAAATGTTGGTATAGCGGGCTACGGGCATTGCTACAAATATTAGAAATCATAGTATGATTATTCACCTCAAGGAATCTTTGTTTTACTAACATGTAAGTATTATCATTGAAATCTGCATCAAATATATAGCCAAGTCCCAGTTTATGAAGTTCATTTTGAATATCTCTGATCCAACTATCATTATTCCTTACTCTTTCTTCCAAGCATGATTTTAGTAGAATATTTTGTGTCCCCTTTAGTTTCAAAAAATATTTTATAATTTTCAATTTTCTAGATTCCCTCATAGGCATTCTTCCAAGTTCGAAATACACAAGATTGTTACAGGCACTTTTTTTTAAACGAAGTAACTTTTTACAAAAGAGACTTTGTATTTTTTCTACATCTGGAGCTTTATGAAATCCCCACACCTCTGCTCCATAATTAAGAATACTACATACATACATTTCAAAAAGTGATATTTGAGTTTCGACATTAAAATCAAAGTTGCAGAATTTTTTGTTCAACGCATAAAATGCTTTTCTTCCCTGTTCAGCTACGTGCTTTTGAGTTATATTAAATTTACCATTATAATTGAAACACATTCCTAGATAACTGAATCTATCTACTATTTCAAGTTCTTTTCCATTGTAAACCCATTTTTCTTCATTTCGTAAACTTTTACCATTTCTAAAAACTAAAATTTTGGTTTTATCTGTATTAACTTCAAGACCCCATTTCTTATTATAAGTACTTAATTCATTCAATAATGTTTGAAGTGACATTGGTGAGTCTGCAATAAGTACCATATCATCTGCATACATCAATAAAAAAATGGAAATTAACTGCAGTTCAACATAAGGACAATTGTTTTCTAAAAAATGCATCTCACAATCATTAACATATAATGAAAACAATAGAGGTGATAAAACCTCCCCCTGCAGTAAGCCCACATTATTTTCAAAATACTCCGACAGCATACCATTGAACTTCACACATGATTTCACACTAGCATATAATGATTTAATAATATTGAACATTTTGCCTGTTATACCTTGTTTAACTAATTTACACCACATTTTAGCTCTATCAATTAGATCAAATGCTTTTCGATAATCTATAAAACAGCAATATAGTCGGCCACCCTTTTTCTGCAAAAATTTATTAACTAATGTTTGTAGTACAAATATTGCATCAACCGTACTATTTCCAGGTTTAAATCCAAACTGCGCGTCTGTAATAACATTATTCAAACTATCCCATTCTAGCAGCCTAGCATTTAAAATGGAAGTGAATAGCTTACCTAAACAACTAATTAAAGTAATGCCTCTATAATTATTTGCATCATTACGATCACCCTTTTTAAAAACTGGTATTATACAACCCTTAGACCATTCACTAGGAAAAAACCCTGAATTAAATATTGAGTTGAAAAGTTTTGTTATGATGGGTAATAATGAAAGTGGCGGTAGGGATTTATTTTGCAAGTATTAAATTGCAATGACTTCTTTCCTTGTGCAACAATAATGTAAGTATTACACGTTTAAAATGCAGTGATTAGTTTAGATTTTCTAAACTTGGCCCATAGGATTGCATTGTATTCCATTGAAGTGTAAGCTAATTCCTCGATTTGTCTCAGTAGCTTCCAGAGATAAGGAAACGGCTATTGCAGAAAGTCTCATTTTGTTCTTTGGTGAACTCTTTTTATTAAAAAATTCACCCCTCTGCTCACTGGGAATCGATTGATGATAATACCATTATGATGTTCTATTGAAATAATATCGCGAATATCGTCCTTTGATGGCTTCCTTACAAAGTGGAAATGTTTTGCAAGATAGAAGGGGTGACAAAAATATTTCATATTTATTTGTAAGGAGATAAATTGTTCTTGTACTCGTGGCTTTTTTAATCGTGGGTTTTTACTGTAACATGGATATTACCTGATTTACGACTTTGCATTTTTAGAAGAGTTCAATAATGGACATATCTGAAGAACTTGTTATAGTCATAACTATTTTTTGGCAAGATTTTAAAAAGATTTTTCTCACAAGTAGGCGATTTTAATTATCACGGAGTTTTTTTTCTTCTGAAAATGTGATTCAATAGTACAGTTAACAATGGGTGAGTGCAATTGAAAACCCATCCAGATGCGTTACGACCTGTTTTCAAACCCTTTTTTCAAAAGTAAGATAAAGGCTAGAATACAATATTTAATTTCATAAACAATAAATTCTGTCCAAAATTTCAATATGTAAGAATCTGAAAAAAAATAGTTAGAAAGGTAAGACGTTTTGTTTCTTGTAATTCGTACATGTATAAGGGTCTTTTATTTTAAGAATTTGATCGAAATAACTGCTCTTTGTATAATTTATGTTTAAGAAAGAAAATAAAGTCGAAGATAATGCGTTAACAAGTATTTTACTGCATACATATTAACTACTTATATTCTGGACAAATGTTTCTTCTTACCAAAGAAAGGGTATTGACGTCATCAAATTAAGGATAACAAAATTCACTCTTTGTGTGTTTATTTTCCTTATCTTCTTAAAAACTTCCGATAACTAGAATATAATCTTGTTAATTAAACTGGTAAAATTTGATCAAGTCTCTAGGACATATATCTACTTAGATTTTAAAACATATCTTCATATTCTATTCCCAACTTTAAGTTGAGCATCTAAAATATATAAGTAAGTTTCAGTTATATTATCTCAATCTGGGTTTTTTTTTGTCTATCATAGCGAAATTAAATTGCCACTCTTAATGATACGGTAATATCGAGCGGTTTGCTTTCCATAAATTGATAATAAAAATACTGAAAATATCATTTTGAATCGGTGAAATTGATAAGCATTGGCTACTTCTTGAATGTCTACATTGCGTTAAACATATATTGGCTAACTTAACAACCTGGAGAGAACTTTTATCAAAGTAAACATATGTCTGGGCTTAGTAATTTTTTTTCAATAACGCTCAAGAGAAAATAGTAAGTTTCTGTGTATTTAATTAAAGAAGAGAAAAAAAGCTTTTAAGCCAAATAACAAGGTGAATGTATGGTGAAGATTCGATTTACAGCGGATTCCAAGTCTTGGACTGTTTAAATTCTGTGTTACCCCTTCATCATCTTAGATTGTATTTTGCCGCAGCCCTTATCCTTTTAATAAGATAGGTGGAGATTTTTATCTGTTGGATGGCGAAGGATAGATTACGCTGTTTTTGATCACCTGAATTTGCATCAATACCTGTGGCTTTATACAGGTTCATTGAAAGTACAGAAAACGTTCAACTTCTCAAAAACTGTCACTGGGTTATGATCTCAGTTTAACTATGTTTCCATTCCTCTGCATTCTGTTTTCATAATGATAGATATAGCATTGAAAATGCTGCACAGATATAATGTGCTTTGGCATTTTCAAAGAGTGATTACAGTATTCAAACATTCATGTTCACATGTCCTTGTCCAATGCATGTATCAATTGTTCTGTAATTTCATTGATTAATTAAAGCTTTTGATCATGACGTCATTTAATGTAATATAACTCTATATGTCAAAACAGATAGACACTAGTCGCTCTACAAGATGGATTGGTTGCTGCTTGTTATACATTTGACGACGATTTTGACGTGGCAAAATTGTCACGCAGGAGGTAGGAGTCCGGCAGAAGACGAGGTTGCATGTTTGTTGTCTGTCCCAGCTGATTGTTCTTCAAAAGCCTTCAAATTAGGACTCTAAATTAATATAGCCATCACGCAGATTAATGTCACTTCAGTAGAGTAATTGATAGAAAAGAACAGTAAAATCTAGTTAATTAAATTAACTAAAAACAATACCCCTTTTTTCTCGAGAGAGGGAGTAAACATTCACTGCACAGGATTAATACGATTAATTAGTCACAAATCTCCTTTTGTTGTTTGCATGGTTTAATTTCATTTCACCATACTGAAGTATAACCTTAGTTGTATTTTCAGAAATTATGTCAACTTAGAAATGAAGTGTTTACAATGCAGTACATAGTAAATATATAATAGTATAATATATACTATATATTCATATAATAGTAAATAAATAGTTGTAGATATAAATAGATTTTAACAATTTTTTTTCTCCATTCAACAATCTCTGAAATTATTGTAGTGCATTAATTAGTTTTACTATAATATTGTCATTATAATTTACAGCTCGCCCAGAATGTTTATTTGAAGACCAACAATTCATTTCATAGCAGCGATTCATGGTTTCCAATGCATAGAATATTTTTGCTTAAAGTATGACGAATAGCTGTTTTTGATTAGAAATGCTACTCTTTTTATTAGTGCGCACTATACAGTTTATTTGAGGAGTAAGACAGCATCTAAGAATCTTATAAGTACTTGTGAAAATATTATTTTTTTTCGCGATGTTTTAATGGGCTGAATTTATTTATTTTATGGAAATGACATATTTAATATTGGAAGTACTGGTATGCTTCATCGATAAGAAAAGACATTGTGTATGATTTAAAATTCCAACGATTATATATATGTATACTTAACCCTTACAAAAGATTATTCATAAGGCATTATGACGTTATTTTCTCCTTTCACATACAATTCTTCTTTGCTAAAGACAGTGGTGAGGGTTAAAGCGTTTTCTATTTCTGCTACTAAAGATTTCTGCGACATCCATACATGTAAATGAATTATAGAGATGTCATTGCCCAATTCAAAACAAAACAAACATATATATATGAAAATATAGATGATTGACCGATTTCTGAGCTTGCATGAGGTTAATATCGAACAGTCATGGTTTAACCACAATCGATGTATATACAAACAGTCGATGTTTATGCATTTTTTTTTTTTTTTTGAGAAAGAGAACTCCCTTACTAAGTTTAAGCTAATTGTAAGAATTAAATTTGGAACAGCCTAGCAATACCAGTTTATATCACTTTAAAAGTATCTCGAAAATCTCCAAATGATTACATATATATTTATGTGGTATTTCTTTTCTTTAGATAAACTTCATGTGGAGCAAGAACTTAAAAAGTGATATAATTAACTAAATGAATTAATATAATATCAAAGTTCTCACAGAAAAAAAGGATAAATGAATGTGTTTTGAGCATCATATAGGTTGTAAGGTCTTTTATACAAAACAAAAACAAAACTACTACTAGTATACATTTTTAATTGTACAAAATCTATTAAATGTAAGATAATATTGAAAAAATATTACATAATAAGAATGGGTTTGTACGAGTTAAAAAAAAAGTAGTTACACTTTTAAAAGCCCAATATATACATAGTATACATCGTTAATAAATTTCAGAGTCCTGCACTCAGAACTAAAGCTTGCAACCTTTTCATTTATCGCTCTGTTTAGCAGAAAACTATTCAAACAAGTTCATAACTTTGAATGATTGATTGATTGAACTTTGTATGACATAATACCGAATTTTATTTTTCACCTGGAAAGGTGTCCTTTCAATTTATCATCTTTATCTTAAAAGCATTGGCTTAAAATTAAAAAAAAAACGAGCAACGCTTCAACTTATATAATCAGTACATATTTAGAAGAAAGAAAACTTAAAAAAAAAAAAAATAATATCCAAAAACATACGAAGGAATCCTGATCACAAAGCACTGGGAAAAAGTTCTCTTATGAATATTACATTTTCCTTTTAATATCTCCCATTGGTTTTTCAAAAGTAAATTATCAATTTGGCATGTTCATTACTCGTAGTCTCTTGTAATACTTTTTTAATTTAACCAATTTATTTATCCTTAACCCTGTGTCGTAAAAATAGAGATTTAAATAATGAAAATACATATATACATTAATAGATCTTCATGGATTTTTCTGTAATTTTTATTATGACCTTTCATTTACGATGCTCTGCATAGGAGAATATTCATACCTTTTCAGAATGGGTCACTGCAAAAAAAAAAAAAAAGATTTTAAAGTATTTTTGAAGTGATCTTTTTTAAAGAAACATCATTTGTTGGATTGATTGCATGTACCATTCGAGAATTTTTCAGTCATATGGAGAAGCCACCGTATGCCGGTGAAGAGCTTCAAATTTAGACCTATTTACGACACTTAGGGCAGTGAGGGTTTTTTATTGTGCCAAAGCCCTTTGTGACACGGGACCTCGGTTTTTAATCCGAAAGACCCGTGACTTTCACTTCTAGTGCCGGACGCTTGGCGAAGGAACAGTCACTACCTATGTTTACGTCCTAAACGTACGGCGAACGAGAATAGAACCCGGGCCTCCCGATCACGAAGCGAGCGCCCTACCACTAGGCTACCATTTGTTGGATAAAGTTTTACAAGAAGCAAATATAATCGGACAAGCGAAATCTATGTACCTGTGTGACTATAATTAATTTACCCCTTGAATGAAAGATAACCTGATAATATTGATTGGACCATGCTCCCACTGGTTCATCAGCTCACTATCAATTACTGAAATGTGACATAATGATCATAAAATCTTCTTTAATTAGTAATAAACAACCTGTTAGTAAATATTATAATTCCTGAATTATGTAATTATTTGCCAAAATCAATTCTAGGGCAGAATTATTTTGCCATGCTTATGCAATCTGTAACTATCCTAACCTTTTTACGAACCATTTAGAAGAGTTAGATATTTTCTTAGATGTACACATGAGTTTATTCCTTTGATTCTTTAGATGGAGAAACAAATAATGAGATTGTCATAAAAACATTTCGACTGACTTGCTTCCAATGACTTACATTCACTCTAATTTTTATAACTTTCTTCTGTACAATAAAAAGTCTTGCTAAAGGAGACCTTGTTCAAACAAACCAATTTGTATATAAACAAACATTGTTCACCTTCTTTGATAAATTACGGTTGGCCGCTATAAGCAAAATACATGACTCATGATATTAATGATATTGTATATTTAATATTTGCAAGATGTCGTCCAAATGTCCACCGAAAAACTCCTGATTAAGAAGCTGCTCACTGAGTACAAGGAACGTGGCATTATGGGAAGACCGGTAGAGCGTCATCATGAGATTCTTACGGTCAAGTTCGGACTGAGTCTGATACAGATTCTGGATCTAGATGAGAGAAATCAAGTACTCACCACCAACGTATGGGTCACTTACGTAAGTGTGCAACAAATATTTGTACGTGTTGCCAAGGCAAAAAAAAAAAACAACTTTGGATTGGAAGGGTATTATGACAACATAAACATACATTTATCATGACTGAACAAGTTTTTTCTTGATCAAAGGAATATCGACGAAATGCCTACAGAGAGTGGTTGTGTGAAACACATTTTGCAGATTTACTTATAAATTCCTTCAACACTTAGTTTGCTTTCAAAGGTGTAGAAGAAAGTAGCTGTACTCCTCCCAAGACTCCATGCGTTTTAAGAACACTACCTCTTGGTAATAAAGAGCTCTGTAAAATGCAGTATGAAGTTTTTGCAACATTATTGAAACCTTTAATTTCAAAAATGTTATTTCAACCTCTCTTTTTATGCTAATATTATGTCGGTTTTATTTTTGCAATACGTAAATTGTACGCCTTTCTAGTGATTTGAACAATTAGTGTAGAGCTGGTTTTTGATATTTTTATTATTTAAAACATTTTCCTTCCTTGAGCGATGAAGCTATTATCCATCGTGATCGCAGATTCAAATTCTTGGTCAATAAATACGTTTATTTTCCTGTTAATATTTCAATTTACACCCGTCCATTTCTAGAAAAACTATTGAATCGACAGTGTTCTAAATGTAGAATGTAGTGTTATGTCTCGAAATGGAGTTCCCTTACAAAAAATAACTAATATCGGAGCACCTCACTGGCTTTCTCAGTAACTATAAACCAGATACCTGATTATTGTGGTTACAATTTCAACATACTTAATGCTCGATATTAATAAGATTGCATCTCTAGCACAACAAGCCTCACTTAAATTTATCTGAGGGAGCAAATTACATGAACGGAGGCAATAAATTTTGATTTAGAAATATGAATGCAGACATTTATAAGAAATTCAAAAATACGAAACGCAATTGTCCAAGCTAATATTACACAACAAATACCCCCATACTATCCATAAAATATTATTGAATATAAAGCCGAACATTGTCAATTTTGTACTTGCAGCAACATGTGCACATTAATCAATTGGAAAACAGATGGCATACCCTGTTCAATTTCTTATTTAATTGCCTACTTAGCATATTTGACACTTCTGATGGATAGATAGCGTACCTTATACATGTAGATAGATATTGTGACACATCTGTGTAAAGAATGTTGCTAAACGTCTGAAAATATCATCTTTATCTCGATCCTCCTCTAAAACATTGTTCAAACCTATATCTTATCTTTAAATCATGCAGATTCGAACAAGCATCATCCATTTCATTTCTCTCTAATTGAATTTCTTCGACTTTTGCTGTAAACTATGTTGCTCGCGATCAAAAATAGCGCTTTGATCATGTTGTTGGGTTTCCACGTCTATCATTTTATTAGTGTCGAACTTCGAAAGAAGAGTATCATCAGACACTTTTTTGAAAACGTGCAGAACTAATTAAATCCCAAAAGATTTCAATTTAACACCACATTCAAGGGTTTATCAATAGAACTTCTTCGCCCTTTATTTAACTGTGTTGGACAATGTAGACATTCTGTATGGTAGTCTTATAACTCTTAGGATATTTGGGCGCGAAATGTTAAATATTTGAATAAGACATAGCAAAATATATTCAATTTAAGAACCAATTTGATATTATATATATATATATATATATACATGTATATATATATATATACATGTATATATATATATATATATATATATATATATATATATATATATATATATATATATATATATATATATATATATATATATATATATATATATATATTCCAATGGACATTCGGATTCATATTAAGGAAAAGCTGTAAAAGAAATTCTTAATGGACGAAAATTCTACTATAAAGAGCAGAATGTCTGACTTGAGAAGTGCCGTGTTATTGAATTGTGTTTGTGATCAAACATAAAAAAAATTATTAACTCCTCGCAACGAAGTTAGGGTGATATAGTAAGGCGCTTGTGTGTGTGTGTGTGTGTGTGTGTGTGTGTGTGTGAGAGTGTGTGTGCCTAATGGAAGTTACGCATCTAATAATTTATATGGGGATCGATGTGCTGTATTGCGGGATACTTGTTAAAAATTGAATTTTGTGCTATGCTTTCTCAGAAATACATGTAATTGCGAAAGTATTTTTGTAATGTTCTTTCAGGATGCAAGCTTTATTAAAACAGAAGGGTTGATTGTGACAAGAGAGTTTGTTTACCATTTAATATTTAGTTTAAAAATACCTCCTCCATCAAATAAATATGGTTTTTCATGTTAGTTTTGGGCATGCATTGATTGAGAAAAAAGATCATATCAAATATTAATTCAAAATGCCTCGATATTAGATGTTATGATGTCTTGATTTTCTTACAAAAAATGAAGAATTGCATGCATTGTCTCTAAACTTAACGTCTTTATCATTTTTACAGCAATGGAAGGATATTTATATGACCTGGAATCAATCTGAATATGACAACATTACGAAAATCAGAGTGCCTAAGGGAAGCATTTGGGAACCTGACATAAAATTGTACAACTAGTAAGTTTTCATGACGTAAACTGCAATCATAACTTTTTTTTGGAAAATCTTGTAATGGTTACATAATGTTATTACAGACTATCAGTTCTTTCTATTTCCAATGATTCTAAATTCTGCTCACAACATAATTTATCATAGTAGGCATTTTATATATGAAATGAACCAAGCATTTGATTTGTCGATTACATTTCCTGTTCAAACCTGGTTTGGAACTTGGTGTAAATGTGGTCGCCATTTACACGAAGTTAATTTGATTTCCAATTTTTAGCGCTGATGAGAGGATGGAGGAGAGGAGAGACGCCAATATGGTTATTGAAAGCGATGGAACTGTGCTATGGATTCCTCAAGCGATCTTCAAAAGTGTCTGTAAAATAGACATTATGTACTTCCCTTTTGATATGCAGACTTGTAAACTAAAATTCAGTACATGGAGTTATGATGGCGGACAAATTGATTTAAAGGAGCTGTACGGAGTCGAGACTGGTTTTGAATTGTCCGACTACGTGGAAAGCAACGAATGGAATGTACTCGGATCTGGCGTCGACAGAAACGTCATCACTTACGCATGCTGCCCGGATGCTCCTTACGTCGACATTACTTTCAATATTCGGATTAAACGAAAACCTGCATTTTATAATTACATTTTGATTCTTCCTTGTATTCTTCTGTCCTCTCTAACGTTGGTGCTGTTTTGGCTGCCACCAGAGTCACCTGCAAAAATGCAATTAGGTATAAGCAATAATATAGTGCAAATTCATATTTATATCGCTCCTTCAATTTCTCCTTGGTGTTTTGAATACTAACATGTTCTTTGTATATTTAAGCTCTCTTCCATACCAAGCATTTTGTTTTATCTCGCGTTGAGGGATGTTATTATGATTGATGAAGAAAATAATCTTGTTCTATTTCCAGGAATGAATATATTTGTCGCCTTTTTTGTGTTACTTCTTCTCCTCAACGAATCTACCCCTCCAGCGTCAGCTTCGATACCTTTAATCGGTACTGATAAGTTTACAACTCTTGTATCTTGTGAATTACCATGCATTTTATATTTTCATTATAATATGGCAAACATTTATCACTTTGAATTGCTTGCTGGTAAAATAAGACAAAAAACCAATTAAGTGTTTCATTCTAAATTTCTATCAAATAAGCTTTCCACTGAAATGAAACAAGATTTTTAATGTAATAAAGCATGCATTTTGTTCTAGAGAGTTATATGCATTGATAATAAATGTTACAATCATTGACCTTACATTTATTTTTTATAGATTTTGAATATTGATGTCTGTTAATATTTGATATGATTTTTTTCACAGGAGCTTACTACTGTCTGAACATGATTATGATTACTCTATCCACTTTCTTATCCGTCGTCATTGTAAATCTTTACTTCCGGGGGTCAAAGTCACGTGTCCCAAGGCCTATAAAAACGGTAAGTTTCGCGCTCTCCTAAAACTACACTTTTTTTTTTATCTGAGCATCTTTTTTGTCAAAAAAAATTAATGCACGTATGTATGCTTGTAAATTTTGCTCTACAGTCATAAATGAGTGAAAATTGAATACGAAAATGAGTATGTAGAAAAATAATTATTACAAGTGGATACAAATATTCTGTTTTTAAGATTGTTGGACATTTCTAAGTTTAGATTGATTTGCAATAGTTATAGACTGAAGATTGGTCTCTCATTGACCGATAGCTACTGCAGGTTCAATAATTATACACAAGCATACAAATGAGGCTGTTTGCTAGACTCATAAAATCGCAACCCATATTACAGAATAATACAAATTGCTTGCCCAGACTCATAAACTGGTCGGGTCACTTCCATTACTTCTAGACACCACAAAGCTTCAGATTGTGGTAATTGACCTTTTGATTCGTACTGATTTTGGCATGCTTATTTGGTTATACATATGTATATGGAAGTTGTTTATAATAATATGCCCTTCCCTAGCAAAACAAGCACTATTGTAAACTTATGCTCTATACCTCATGCGCGCGCTGATTACTCAAATTTAATAACTTGAATTTCACAGCATTTCAGTAGCTAGATTTTATTTTCTATGGAAAAAAAGTTTTGCCATGAAAAATCGAAAACTGACTCGGGTTAATTAAATGTACTATGAAAAAAATTAAAGAAATTTTAATTAAAATAGTAAATCATGACTAACCTTTATAAACTGAATTAAAATTTATTGATAAATTGTATTTGTTTGGCTTGCATGTACTTTTCAATAAGAGAAATATCAAATTTTCCACTCATTGTTTGTTTCATTCTTTTGGATGAGCAAAATGGCAGTTGATGAAAATTTCAATATAAACCCAGCTCAATAAGTAAAATATATTAAACATAAAAATGGTTTATCTTAATTTTAAAATTTTAAGTACATAGCAATTCCTCATGGTTTGGATTATTTTTTACGGTTTTCAGATAATGGTTGATTACATAGCAAGAATAATGTGTATGCACGAACAAGTAAAGACAAAAAAGAAAAGTGGACAAGAAAGCAATGGAATTGTAAGGGGAGGCAACCGAAGGGATAAGAATGGAAAGTACGACAAAGTCGGATATTATGAAATGCAAGCCGAAAATAGCTGGAAAGAACAACCAAATGGCTTACTGAATAACGAACACGCAAATTTCTGTGAACAGGACAAAACTGAGATGTCTACTAGCTTGTCTGGACACTTTGATACTATGTCCAGTGACGTGAAAGAAATCAAAACATATCTTAAGAAGATGATTGATAAAATCACCGACAAGGATGCAAAAGAGGTGATAGCTAGAGAATGGAGAATAGTTGCCCTTGTTCTGGATAGACTGTTCTTCTTTTTGTACTTTTTTGCTATCGTGATCTCCGTCTGTGCAGTGTTTAAGAATGCATTTTTTGATACAACCGACTATTCTAATCTGAAGCATAATCACTGATTTATTAACATGCTGACTTTTCATGATATGCTGTTTTACATGAAGTTGATTCGTCCAACTATCAAAATATGATGTGTATTATCTTCATAATTTATACATTTCGTCCAACAGATTGTGTTAATATGATTCTCATTAACTTTTTACCAAGGAAGAGTATTTTCAAAATACATGTATGTGAACTGTAGTAAAAAAAATCAGAAAGTTTGACAGTATCCAGTTTCAGTATGAATTATTTTCAAGACATGCCAAAAAAGTTTAGGTTTTCAATTGCAAGCTAAAACAATTCTTTAAGAGAATTCAATAATAGTTCACTAAACTTTCGCTGAGCATGACCAAAGCGTTCTACTTTTGTATAGAGAATCAGAAAAGACTAAATGTAACCTTTACTGTAATGACAGATATAGTCTTTTTAAGAGGATTGTACATCTGTCTGTAAATATTTTCTGTAATAGATGTGTACTGCTATTAGCAGATGTTCATAACAGCTCTTCCATGCAGTGTTCACACACTAAATAATTTGTTTTTGTTTAGCACCGAGTGTTAGATGCATTTTAATAAACGCAAGACATTTTCAATGCAATAATTACATGAATCGTTTTATACGCATGCTAGTAATTGTATAATTATTAGTGAGTCCGAATTTAATAGCACTAAACACATTAATCAAGAGCCATTATATTTTTTGTTCAGTACATGTTATGTGTTATATTGAGAATACATAATGTACATGTGCACTCATGTTATGGTTGATATATGAAATTGAATACAACATAAAAAAAATGTTGTTAATAAACAATATGAATCACTATTTCTTTATCATTTCTAGATAAATTGCCTTTGAGAAACTAAGTTGCAATGAGAGCTGTAGATGAAGTATAGTTGACAGCTTAGAATATATGACTTCTAAACATGCTTATTAAAAATATTCAGCAAGATTCGTTTTTAAGAAATAATCTGCTAAGCATACCGTGTTTTGAGGATTTTTCAAGGTGAATGAAATATGAAGATAACGAAGAGTAATCAAACTCAAAAATCCATTGAAACAATTCAAACCGTGAGCAGAGCAAACATGGACCTCTAAAAACATCAGAGGTGGGATCAGGTGCCATGGAGGAGTAAGCATCCCCTGGCAACCGGCCAAACCCGACGTGTACTCCTTGTCATGAACAGGCAAACTAAAAATTCCGTAGACAATTCAGAGTGAAAATAATTACTATACTTTACTTTACTATAGTAAATAAAAGTTTCCCCTCTAGTGATTCAATGTATTTTTACTATGGATTTCAGTTTGTTGTATTTTATGTTCAATAGTTCATACATGCATATTAAAATCTTTACATACATGCAGTTCATAAATGCATATAAAAGTATCAAAGTATTTACTTTGCAATATGGAAAGTCAAATTTAATGTTACGGTTCCCCATTTATTCCCGTTACTATGGGAAATAATTTCTGTGAAAATACACAGTACAAGTTAAACAATACTCCCTGCAACATATTGGACTATAAAACGACAAATTATATGTTTTATTCATTGTATGCTTTATTTATCATCAATTGTATATTTACCATGTTCATCATTGGGACGAGGTCGGTAATTAGCGTTACCCCGAAATTCCTCGACATCTTACATTCCCAAGTCACGCTTTAACTGTTTACGATTGCTTTTGTTTATGTTTACGAAGTTCATCAGCAATTTATTTATATAGAGAAAATGCAACAAAACTAAAGTTAATTATTTATTTGTATGTGGCGAGTATTGTCGTGGCAATATTCGTGGGTCGCCGAACAAATCAACACAACATTGGCAGACCCACTTGAGCATCAACAACAAATCAATCAATCATCAATCAAATTCAGCAATTATATAAAATGGACCATCCCGGGTAATCCGCGGACAGTTACTTAATCTTTACTACATACACAACCTACAATAATCATCTCAATACAAAATGCAGTTATTATAAAAGTTATCAAACCCAGTCACAAACAATACAGTTCCCATCAGCACAAAATTTTGACTCAGTGTTAACCATTATTCAACTTATTTCACATTAATAATACTTAGTTTAGATATCAGTTGACTTTAGTGTGCGCATACGCCAAATGGCTGCAAACAAGTCAAAGTTTGCAGTCACCCCACAAGGGAGCACCAAGTCAACTGACCCACGACAATACTCTACCCTCTTAGTTATTTCCTTCTGGATAGACTGTTCCTAATTTTAGCTGGAAGTATTCTAGACCCCCCTGAATTGTGTTAAGAAATACAGAATTTCCCAGGTCAGAAAGGTGAACACCATCTTTTAACAAAAAGGGAGGTATATCACGCAGGAGTTCTGGATATTTTATATAACAACCTCCCAAACTAAGGACATGCTTAGCGATAGCTCTATTGAAACGAACACGGGCTCTTTCCATTGCCTGATCATTTTGGGAGTACCTCCATTCTAACCTAGGAAGGACTTGAGACCATATATATAAATTTGGAATTTGGGAAGTGATGTACCAAGGCTTTCAAGTCATTTTTTGATTCATGTATTAGTTTACACAGATTTTTATCCCTCCTACCTAAATCATTTCCTCCACAATGAATCAGAATAAACTGTGGTTGCATTTCTATTCGCTTCAAACAAAACAATTTCATTTTTAAGTCAGTAATCTTTAGCCCAGAGTATCCTTGCCACCATATTCTCAGTCCTATTCTTTCCAGCCCTAGATTCAAGCCTCCTGGTCGGTTACGTGCTGCCGCAAATGCCCTCCGTATTATTGAAGAGCTTACACACCAAACTTGATATCTTTCTGTAATACTTAGTGGAGCTAAAATAGTGTCGATTTATATGTTAGAGGATTAACCCCTTATATTTACTATCTCAATATGCCATTAACAAATAATCCATTGCATATCAAACTTATTCTTTAACAAATTGAATTTACACCCATGAAATGTTTTTCATGACTTGCACACTGATAAACCTTTAGAAGAGTTTAACAAGTGGACATCGAATGTAAGACTTATACACTTGAGACTTCCATCTGCCTGCCTCCCTTATTATCTCTGAAGAACAACCCAATTCATATGCAGCAGTGGCTGCCCCTATTCTAAAGGAATGTGCTTTAAATTTCCCCCCAACCCCTATAACTTTTAAAGCTTTTTCCAGAATTGCAGTAAACTGATATCTAGTGATAGGCTTTCCCCCAAAATGACAAAACAATGGCCCTTTGATTTTGGGTCTAACAGCCAAATATTTAGACATGCATCCCACAGGACATATATTGTTGCCCACCCTTTGAATTCTTAGTGTAACACCTTTTCCATGTTGATCAGACTTTGATCGATGAATATTCAAGAGTAATGTCCTCTGGTCAGGTTCAATTTTGATATCAGAAACCTGAACAATGCTATGTACATCATTTCCTGTTGACAAAGCAAATTCTCCCACCCGTAGAAACCAAAAAAAAGGCTAATGTAAATGCCGCATTAAAAAGGTTTGATTCATAAGTATTATAACATACTGTGGGCACAACTTGCACATTTTTTGATAATAATGTGGGTGTAATGGGTAATCTTGTGTCTCGAGGGCTCTTAATCCTTTTCATACCTTCCAATAGCTTTATTACAATAAAATATTTTGTTTCATCCTGAAGATTCTTTAACTTACACTGAAAACTGATGGCAGCAACATATGACCTAGCTGTTGAATATGAATAGCCTGAACATGACAAGAATGCCACAAACTGCACTATATGATTTAATGATGGTGGCCAGATTTGTTCATAATTAAAAGAGTAACGAAACTTTTGAAATGATTCTAATCCAGTACCGTACGACAATTTTGTATTTGTGGACAAAGATGCCTCCAGTAATTTTTCTACTTCAAGCTGTAGATCATTCTCACAAATTCCTCTGGTATACTTTGTGGTGTCTCTTTTGCACTCGGTGCAAGGTCCCTGAAATGCCTCCACTGTTTACGAGAAATTGCATCTGCTATACTATTGAAAATACCTGGTATATGCTTAGCTTTAAAAATAACATTGTAATTCATTAATTTTAAAACAAAATATCTTACTAAATCCATTGTCCTTTTTGATTTGGAGGTTTGCTTATTAATAACACTAACCAGTGCAATGTTATCAATATGAAACAAAACTTTCTTGTTTTGAAGGCAATTTCCCCATATTTCTATTGATAATACAACAGGCACTAATTCTAAAAAAGTTATATCTCTCATTATATCTTGATCTTTCCTTTGCTCAGGCCATGCTAGAAAAGTCCAATTACCTTTAAAGTATGCACCACATCCCAAATTATTAGCACCTGCACTATCAGTAAAAAATTCTAAGACATTGGAATTTGTCCACTCAGACTCGGGAAAATATGATACACCATTAAAATTTTGTAAGAACTTTAACCACATCTCCAAGTCGCTTTTCGTGCCTGTTGAAATTCTAATAAAGTGATGAGGTTTAGACGCACCACTCATTGCATCATAAAATCTCCTATTAAATGCCCTGCTTGACCTAATTGCCCTACCAAAAAAATTAAGCATCCCTACTAAAGACTGTAAATCTCGAAGGGTAACCTTCTTTTTTCCTAACATGCCTTTAACCATATCTGTCAACATGATAACTTTGGTTTGTGGTATTCTTATAACCATTTCAATAGTGTCAATTTCTAATCCTAAATATGTAATTCTTGTAGTAGGGCCTGCAGTTTTATCCTCAGCTAATGGGACACCAATGTCAGTCGTAATACTTTTGAAATTTTCCATAAGCCGAATACACTCTGACGTTCCCCCTTTTCCAGCAAAAGTAAAGTCATTTAAGTAGTGATCTAAAGTTTCTAAACCAGTTTGAAATTTTGTTAACCAATGAAGGAATGTTGCAAATGTCTCCCATATCTTACAACTTATTGCACAGCCCATTGGTAAACATTTGTCTATGTAATAAAGCCCATCTACCGAGAACCCTCACAAATCAAAATCACCTGGATATATTGGTATTAATCTAAAAGCACTCTTAACATCAACTTTCGCTAAAAGAGCCCCTTTCCCTAACCCACAAATCATGTCTACCACCTTGTCAAATGACGAATAATTTACTGTACATAGCTCTGGATCAATGAAATCATTTTTACTATTTGATTCTGGGTATGACAAATGAGTAATCATTCTCCAACCCCCATCAGATTTTGGAATAATACCAACTGGTGACAAATGAAGATTTGATATAGGAAGTTGACTAAATGGTCCTAATACCCGACCTAACCCTATTTCATTTTGTATTTTTTCCATCAACTCGACGTGGTGATGCTGCGCTGATAGCAAGTTTTTAGAAGACACATGAACCCTTTGCCCCGAGTACTGGAGTTTAAAACCATTTAAAAATCCATCCTTTAAAAATTGGGTTGTATTTTGATCTGGATAATCGTTTAAATATTTCAATAATTGATCCACTTTAATAGGTGTTTTTCCTAGGTCCCATATTTTTCTGTGGTCTATATTGTTGGGGTCTTGTACTACTACTGGCACCTGGGGCTCGAAAGGGGGGTTGAAATCTGGGTATTCCAGGGGAAGGAAAGTGACCACTATGCTGGTTATAACCCGGATACGATTCCCCTTTTAGCGATTGAAATTGAGCTATATTTACTTGTTTCAAAGGACATGCGGAGATGGGGTGACCATTGTTACATTTAATGCACATATACAGATACCCACATCCCTGTTTGTTACAGAAGCCCCTGTAGTTGAAGTTAAAACATTTGTTGTGCAATATTTGCCCAGGTGAGGATTGGGTTGAGATGGCCTGTG